ACTGGCAACAAAGCGTTTATAGCAAATTTTGCAAGCTTTTTTGTAGGTTTTTAAGGTGGAAGCACTGTTGATGGAGCAGTTATGAAGTTTGAAAACCGTCATGTTCGTTAAACCATTTCTGAACAATGTGAGCATTGTGGCAGGGAGCTTTTTCCACTGTAAGAGGACACATCCATGAGGAACACCATTGCCATGAAGAGGTCAACAACAGTGTTTCAGAAAGTAGCACAAACAAAGATTCGCACAAATGTCAGACCTAGGTTTTCCCACTGGAACATTTCCCAGAGCTTCACTCCAAAACGTTTAGTTGATACAGCACTAGAGAGATAGCAGGAAAGATGGAAATCAAACTCAGATCCCTGTAGCAGCGCTATGTGTCAGTGTGCTTCACCACTAGGCTCTCTCCATTGACCCCTCTGCTTGTCTACTTGTCATCCCATAGTGCATCACTCCTCTAGTTAAAATGTGAACATATACAGTCATTCATGTTATTTATTAAGAAACCTGTATCAGATGAGCATCTTCCACTGATTCAAGATGCAGCTGCAGTCCTTGAGTACCTATTGTAGTCAACGATTATGTCGTAACTTGTGTGTGTTCAGAATGTTGTAGTTTTTGTCAAATTATTCTAGATTTAATGGCATAAAATGCTTAAATTACTATAAATGCGTAACATTATTATCACTTACAGCCTTGTGAGCAGGTTGCCGACATATAGAGCTATTGTGCTTTGTGCATCCTAAGTTAAAGTCCCAGCTGGCTGACCTTTCCTTGATGCCATCTACCTCTTTCTCTCTTCAAATGTGCTTCCTGTCTAAATACTCTTATCCTAACAAATGCCAAAAAATAAATCTTCAAAAAAATGCTTATTTACTTACTCCCAAGGCCGTTTATATCAAAGTTGATATTTAGCCACACCATGTTGTCGTAACATCTCATTTTTATGTTATGCTTAATGCTCAACCCCCAACCTGGAGGACCAGGGCATACACACATACACTAAGGACAAATTTAGCTTCAAAAAATGCTTAAAATTGGAAAATTCTACAAATGTATTACCTAAATGAAACCGTGACTATCTCCATACAGGGTGATGAGGACCTGCAGGCTGTGTGTATTGGAGAAATCTTCCTGGAGTTTGTCAACATGCTTCCAGCATTTCAGACTTACTGCTTGCAGCAGTCCACATCTGTCAACATGCTCAACACTCTGGAGAAGGAAAAGGAGCTGCTTAGGTACACATTAGGAAATTATACTCCAGTTATAATAAAATAAAATAAATAATGATAATAAAAAAAACTTGTCAGGCTAGTAGTTACAGTTTTTCTCAGTCGCTTTGGTGCATTTCTCACAACACTATTTACATTTGCACAACAGGTCATGCATTTCTCAAAACAATGAGTCATTTTTGCGCATCCTAGTAGCAGTTTTTCATTCCTTTCGGCAAATTGCAAATGCTTTCAGACATGCATCAATTGCTTTCATACAACTCTCTGCTATTTATAACATTATCATCTGCTTATGTCATGTCAGTCAAAATGAACTAAACTTGTAAATGCTGAATAGTCATTACATATAAAACTAATAGTCCTCATTTCATTACTTGAGTCATTAGATACAAAAATGTTGAACAAGTTGTCAAAATCTTGCAAGCTAATTTTATTAAAAAAAAAAAGTTTAAATCTTTATTTTACTGAAAATGTCTTCTAAATTAAACAGGTTCGTGAATGATTTACAGACCTGTGTATGTATGTTGGTTCAGTTCCAATATGTTCTGCAATATTGTTTACAGTTGTGCACAGTGCAACCCAAAGAAAGTTTATGTTTGTTGTAAATAAGGGTTTATTTATTCTTCTGCACAATGCTGTGAAAAAATTCAAATTGTAAAGAGCAAATGCAGAAAAAATGTGAAACATACATATTCAGTGTCTTGTACTAGATACACTCACTAAATGTAGTGATGTATAACTTTACTGTAGTTTTCAATTGGCTGTGCTAATACTATATATTACTATCTTGAGCATTTTCACGAAGTTTTAATCTGTTCAAATCTGTTTCAAAATCTGACTTTTTTTGCATTAAAAAAATGTCCAGAGTAAACTGACGTAATGAAAACATGACCTTGTTCATAAACAATGGTGTGAGGACTTTTCATTTTGATGATACTGACTCTTTGATTGACATCAATACTTGCTTTTGAGGAATGAACTATCCATTTTGAGCATGTGCTAGGTCAGTTAGGTTTTGCAGTTTGTACTAATTGTTTTGAGAAATGCACCAACTGTTGTGCAGACATGCACAGGTGTTGTGAGAAACGCACCAAAGCGACTGAGAAAAACTAATATTTTTACTGGCCCTGTATTTTCATTGCACCACCATTTTCACAAGTTATATTTACCTTTATCAACCTTACCCACTGCTTCTGCTGTCCAGCTCGTCTCAAATGTTATGGATCCTTGCTGATTGAAACAGTAACACTTTAGTTTAGGTCACAATTCACAGGATTATAAACTAATAACCAACACAACCAGCTTAATACACTATTAATTAGCTGTTTATTAATAGTTCGTAGAGTAGGTTTTGTGTAGGATTTGAGATGCTGTTTAAGATCATACTTATTAACTACTAATGAACAGTTCTTATCTTAATAATAGGCAGGTAATAAGACAGTATGTCATAGCATATATTGTGTTACTAAAGACTCTTAAATCTCACGATTGTTTCTGCCTTTTCTCCCCTCAGAATATTTCTCGATGTCTCCCAGAATGACAACACCGCACTCAGACGCATGAACCTGCGCTCCTTCCTCATGGCGCCGCTTCAGCGCGTGACCAAATACCCACTGCTGCTAAGCCGCATCAGCAAGGCCACCAACGAATGTCACCCAGATTACCCTCGCTTGAAAGAAGCTAAGAGCCGTGTGGAGTCCCATCTGGAGCACATCAACATGAAGACCAAACAAGAAGGGACTGCCACGTGGTCCTTGCGCTCCTTCCGACGCGACAGCCGTAAGAACCGAGAGGTCATCAACATCGAGATGAGGGAGCTGTCGATGAAGATGGTGGGCTGGGCCCGAGAAAGCACCCGCTTCATCATGGAGGGGCCGCTCCAGCTAGCACAGCCCGCCGATGGACAGTGGCTGAAGAAGGGAAGCAAATCCCTCAAATTCCAGAACGTTCAAAGCTTACTTATGGTTCGCACTCTCCGTGCTACAGACGCAGTTCCTGACGGGAGTTTGGAGTCTTCGGAGGCGGTGCAGGACGGCGTGCTGGTGCTCATCAAGGACAAAAGCAGTGGCAAGTTCACTGTGTTACGGGAACCCATCCGTCTGGCTAACTGCGTGGTGTCCGTGGACCCAGACTGTGAAGATACCTTTGAAGTGCTGGACATCCGACGCGAGGCCTTCGTTTTCCGTGCCTCTGACAAACCACGCACTCAGCAGTGGTTTCGACAGGTTAAGAGATACGTTTGTGATCTAGGATCCTGGAGAAAACGACGCAACGCTCTTCCTAATATCATGATTAACACCTCTCAGAGCCGGTCCTGAGACTGAGCCCTCGGGCACAAACTCTGATGTAAAAATGAGTTATAATAATGAAGAAAAAAACAAACAAATCGATATTTTGTTGAGCGAACAGTATTTGTGTGGGAAAACCAGATCCAATAGATGTTCTCCACCAATGGACTTTTAAATCGCAAGGTTTTACTGTGGTTTAAAAGTGACTTAATATTAAGGTGGCACTTTGTATGAGTGGAGAGAAAAAAAAAGACATTCGGGACAAGGACAAATTCACTGTCAAGCAAAAAGTAATGCCCTTTGGCATACCAAAACGAAGGCCTTGTTAGATGCCTCACTGCTGCACTTACTGATTGTAAAACCAGTTTGCTACTGAGAAGAAACGCTTTCAGGTGTGAAATGGTGAGCATGAGGGAGGATTGGTGGACTTTTTAGTATGCACATGAGTGGAAAGCTGTGTTCGATGTGAAGAATGGGTGAAGCTGTTTGTTTTCGGACCATTGTAACTTCCTCTTTCTCTCTCTTTCTTCCATTAGCATTGATTCCCACTGCCATCCAGGAGCAGTTCTCATTTTTGGATCACTGTGCTGGTTTATAAAACAGCAATAATCTTCATTGTATGTAGCAGCGGTTTTTGTTTGGAGGTACCGCTGTTCTTGTGAGCAGCGATGTAACAGAACATTTTTTTTCTTCATTGACGACGATGTAGCACCAATCTAATGCCACATTCATGGTTGTGCTGAAACCCGACCCAGAATTAGAATCAATCCAATTAACCATTTCCTCCCCAAATCTTGTAGCTAATAATTGGGATGTTGCTTCTCTTGTAATCTTTGAGGGGAAGAAAATATGTGCCTTTGTTTATTTGATAATGAATGAGTACAAATTAGTTCAAGTTTCCCCTCTACTTGTACCCACAGATCAGGCCGTAAACGAGAAAGATATTCTTTTTTTTTGCTGCTATTGTATTCCAAGCGATTCCCCACTGATATTCGAAGCTGTGCTTTATTACAACTCGCTCGATGTTACCTTAGCTGTTTTTGTTTGATGCACTTTAATACGAAGGTCCTAAAGCATCAGCGAGAACGATGTTCTGCAGTTTACAAAGCTTTACTGTACTCCGTTTTAAAGATTGTTTGAGCTTTAAGAAAAAACGAACCACAGTTGACTTCAGCAATAGCAATCAGCCACATTCACACCACCATTTTAGTCTTTCTCCGTCTATGAATGGGTAGAAATGATTACATCTAAGTTGCAACATGTATACTTACCGTTTGTTTTCCAATGGCATTGATACTGTTAGAAAAATCATAGCTTCCACATTACACGACAGAAAGAGTTAAAGCTGCCAGAGAGTTTGAACTGAGACCAATCAAGCTGTTAAATACCTTTTTTCCAATCTTAAAAATCCTAATTTAATATAATTTTGTTGTGTAAAATATTGTGAACAATAATAAAAAAAAGACAAGTATCCATCTCTCTCTGTGTTTTCTGAGAACATCGTTTGCAACGATAATCTTTATTATATAACACTACTGAACAAGAAAAACATGATTTCCTATTGAAAAGCAAAGTCAAATGTTGAATCACCACATGAACAGGCATTTCAAATGCAAATACTGTCAGACAGAAGTCTTTCTTTGGGGAGAAACAAAGCATTATTGCTTACAAATACTAAGAAAATAAAAGTAAAAGCCCCCCAACATCACTGAAGATCAGATGAAACATGCACATACAAAAGAGACAAGATCTGCAATAAAAAGGCAATGCACTGACAGAACACAAATAAAGAAGGGAGGAATGGAAAAGTTTCCATAAAGCTTTACATACCAAAACAAATGCACGGTCAGTTTGCTCTTTGAAACTTTTGCTTATATTGTTTGTGTTATTTTTTCCAAAGCTCTTTCTCATAATGAAATACTTTAACAAGTTCAGCATGCAACGTCCAGAACAACATCAGAGCAGAACAAAAAGAAGCAAATAGTGAAGTCAAAGTGATACACAACTGATCAGTAATGTACAGTAAGGAATGAACGTTCGGTCATAATTTTCTCATCCTAGTGTTGTTCCAAAGCTTCCCTCAGTAAATCACTAAAGACAGACATCATTTTAAAATAGATGTCCACTGTTTTGTAGGGGGGAACAAATTAAGCCAATGGGATCAAAAACAAAAGTGGACAATAAAAATTTCAGAATAACCTGAAGATGAAAAATTTACAACAGAACTTTTATTTTGTATAAACCGTCCATTCAACAGCGAAATACATGGAATTGTGCATATGAGACAAACAGCGAACCACCAGTCAAGGAAAATTTACGACTTACAGAGTGCAGATATTTTTACTGTATAAAGCTTAACATTTTGGCATGTTTCTTGTTCACTTCAAACCACAAATGTAATTTTGACGTAAATTTAAAAAAAAAGTTATCAAAAAGTGACAAAAAAAAGTGTTTCGAAAACCCAATTTAATTAATAAACAGAAAAAATGTCCAATGTAATGCTTGTGCAAGTCAACATCAAACATCTTGATGTCCTTCTAGACTGAAATGAACAAAACAAGCACAGAACCTCTGTTTCCCCCAACATTTCCCAAATTTCTTCATGTTGCTTGACTATAAAATGGTTTGAAATACACGTGGCTGAGACAAAAATATCAATAAGAGTATAAAAACATCCAATCAAACAGAACAGGCAAACAGAACGCACCTGTACAAAAGCATCTCTCAACAGAAGTGAGAAAGAAAACATCTTCCCATTGAAACCTGTTCTCTGTCAAGGTAAGCAGGTGGTTTAAAAGACACCGTCTGAGGACCTCCGTTCCCTCCCCTTCTTCAACTGTCCACCTGCCCGCCATCAGGTTCAAGCACTCTTCTTCAGATGTGGCGAATCGCAGCCAGGGCCTCCTGCATTCCCACAACAACTCTACTTCTCTTCTCCTGCCTCCTGCTCCTTGGCGAGGCCTCGGATGGAGAGATCGTACACCACCTCCTCGATCTTTTTCACGTCGTACTTGAGGCCGTCGTAGCGTTTGCGGAGGGGGTCGTTTTTCAGGTTGAGCAAGCGAAAGCCAGAGTCCAGTTCATTGATGAAGTTTGAGATCCTAAGCGGACGCCCATAATCCCCTGCGGTCACACTGTTCACTGCCAGCCTGGACTAAACCAAGGAAACAGAACAGGACAGGTATGTTGAGCTCACTTTGTAGACGATTTAGTTCAAGAAGGTTGGACAAAATTCACGATAAAACCCCGAAAATGTTCCATTACTTAAAATAATGGTGCTAAACTATGTTTATTTTTACAAGGAATCAGATTAAGAGTGGAAAATGAGCAATATGCATTGAAAGGTTTTTATATCAAAGCGTACTATTAAATATTAATGCAGCGTTAATAGAGAATGGAAACCTACGTCATAATGAGTAGCATTACGCCATGTTTTTGTTTTTTCTATAATGAGAAATTTTGGAATTATGTATCACTGCTATGCAGATGATACACAGCTTTATATACCCATCCAAAAAATGATAGCTTAACCCTCAAGAGATTAGAAGATTGTCTTCGTGAAATCAAACTCTGGCTCACTGATAACTTTTTGCTTTTGAATGAAGATAAGACCAAAGTCATTTGGTCCTCCACAGCATTCTAGCAAACCACCTACCGATCTCGGTGTATTAAACGGTTATCTCACCTCTGAAGTTAAAAACCTTGGGTTTCTACTAGGCAGTACTCTAAAACTTGACAAACAAATAAGTAAAATAGTAAGTTTAAGATTTTATCATCTACGATGACTAACCAAAGTGAAAGCCTTCAGCTTTTATTTCCATACGATTAGATTACTGTAATGCTTTATATATTGATCTACCTTCAACTTCTATTTCTAAACTTCAAAATGCGGCCACCTATTTGCTCACAAATAGCCACAAATATGACCATATCACACCAATATTGCAATCACAACATTGGTTGCCAGTTCATTTCTGAATAGACTATAAAATTTTACTCTGTTTATAAAACTTTGTATAACCTAGCGCCACCGTATCTTTCGGATTTGATCACTACTAAGGAACAAACCCAATTGCTTAGATCAAATTCTGACTGCTATCTATTGCAAACACCCTGATCTCATCTCAAATGCACGGGCGATAGAGCCTTCGCAGTTGTGGGTCTGAAACTATGGAATAAGTTACCATTAAAAATCCGAATAGCAGCCACTCTATCTATTTATAAATCGATGTTAAAGACTCTTCTTTTTTTAAGTACATTTAATATTCCTTAATGGCGGTTCCAGGCTACACTAAATTGACTCTTTCTTGGAAACTTTTACTGTTGTTACTATTGCTTTACATTGTTGTTTTTATTGTAATGTGCTGCTGTTTTTATTTGCTACTGCTACTGTACAGCACCTTGGTTGTTCAAAGGTTGTAATTAAGAGCATGCTCCAGAAATAAACTTTGATTTGACATGCTCAAGAGCACACAATGTAAACTAAGGCAATCACTACAATAAAAGCAGAATGTTTTATAGTCACTTTTTGAAAAGCCTCTCGCAAACGCGCTTTGTGTGTCTGAGAAGCTGAAAATGTGCATTCTATAGTCAGTCTCCAGTGCTAAAGGCGAACTAGAGATGGAGGAATCAAATCAATGAGAGCGCATCTGTAAGCGACAGGGTATCAATGAGCTGCCATAAAAAAATCATGTCCATACATGATTTCCTTCGTTATTTTTGGTGTGAGCGTTTAATTTATTGCAAATCAGTGTGTATTTAGAAGCTGTAGAGATCAATCAGGCTGTCGTGTCCCAAATTCCCAGAATGAACTGCACTATAACATCATATTTTTATTCTCTATACTACACATTAAATGTTGTAAAGAATCTAACTGTATCTAGTTGACACTCCAGCACAACAGGTGGCTGCGTCCTCAAGGGGTCATTCACAGAACACGTTTTTGCATTCCACATGTTGTTTTTCTATAGAATTATCTGACAGATTTCATTTAACCTGCTATTTTTCCTTTTCACTGCTTACATTTACGAAACAGTTGTTGTAATGGTATAACATGCTGTATCTTGGCCACAGTTTGATCAAATGAAAAGTGACTACTAAAAAAACATTGCTTCTGGATTTGAATCCTTTGAGAATCACTTGTTTCAAAGCAGTGATTTGAAGTGTACAACAGAAATATTCAGTAAACAAAGCCTACATCATCATAACAGTTTTGCAATTTTAATGGTTCATCATCAGCCAAAGTAACCTTTTGATCCTAGTCTTATTTTAGCAAAGCCCTCTATAAAACAAACAAAACAAGCTGATAAAAGAAAACAAATGATAAACACTTAAAGGGACGGCTCACCCCCCAAAAATGTACAGTTCCGTCATCATTAACTTTCCTTCCACTTGTTCAAAACCTGTTTGATTTTCTTTCTTCAATTGAACACCAACAAGATGTATGTGTGTGTGTGTGTTTGTGGGGGGGGGGGAGGGGGGGAGGGGGGGGGGATACTACTCATTTAATATGTATTAATATATGTTAATTGCATTCAATAGTTTATAATGTCAATTAATTTTTTGAAACTGGTTTGTGAATGATATTTTAATGCATGTTTGCAGCGTGCTATTGCAAGTTCTTGAAAACAGTGGCTTATTTCATAACTGATTCAAAGCTTTAAGGGTCTTTTCTCACATCACTAAAACATGGCATGTTTTGTCATTAGAAAAAGTAGAAGACACCATCTACAGGTAAGGAGATCATCTATCTACACTTTTAAAATCTAATTGTAAATATTTCAACTAATTTCTTGGGTGAAAGAAGGCAATAATCTTATTTCAATTGCTGTATTAGTACAAGATAGAGCAGACACGACTGACGACATGCCTTTAAAATGTTAAAATGTTTAAAATGTTACAAATGTAAAGTTTGAAGGCAGCGCCATCTAGTGTCCAGGGAATAAAACTACTTATTTTTGAAAATGTTGCTAGAAATTAATGTTATTGTAGCCGCAAATGCTGGCTGCTTCCCGTGAAATTGTTGTTCTAAATGGTTCGAAAGCCTTTAGCTTTTACTACTTTACTAGCTAGATGTCTCGTCTTTTTAAAGTGGAAACAATTTGACCATCACTTACTGGTTCTTTAATGACCTTTGACAAAGTCTGGCGTCCCTTTTTAGATTATCTACTGGCTAACTTGATTATTAGGTTGAGAATTAATGTATGAACACATTTTTTATCCAGTTATTTATATATATATTTTTTATTTACTTATTTAGTTTTTGCAATGGGAAGTTATAGACTGTTGAAGGAGGAACGTGTTTATTTGGGGTATTGCTTGGCCCGTTTACACTAGTACGTTTTAAGGCTGATTTATACTTCTGCGTCAAACGTCGGCGTATGCTACGGCGCTGACGCCTAGCCCTTCGCCGTGGCCATCGCCGTCACTGACGTGCACCTCTCAAAAAATGTAACTACACGTCGCAACGACGTGTAGCGTAAGCTCTGTGATTGGTCGGCTTGGTAGCGCTGACGAGTCTGGGCGGGACCGAGAGCCGCGCGAATGGCGCGAGCGATTGTTTACAAGTGTGGAGTCCCATGAAGGAGCTCCGGATGGAAAGTTTTGTTTTGTGTTTACCTCATAGTTAAAGTTGTTGCACGTCCGCCGGTTCCTGCCTCAAAATGAGCGAGTTTGAGCCACTTGTACATCCCGGAAGTGTTCAGGAAAAGCAAAAAAGCAGAGAAGAAACTCGACACAGAGGAACATTAACACCTCACTGCCCACTAGCGTTTCGGAAGTGTTAATGCAGACCGACAGAGACAGCGCGCAGAAGTATAAATGCACAGCCACGCGCGTTGCCTGCGCCGTGGGTTACGCCGGTCACCTGACGCAGAAGTATAAATCAGGCTTTAGTTTTAAAACTGCGTTTTAGAATGAAAACAATCCACGTCCAAACGAGCGTTTCACCCAGCGTTTCTGAACTCTCCGTCTACACAAACCACTGAAAAGGCACATCACGTGACCCCACACAAATACTCTGGCATGCGCTGCAGCATATCTACCCAGATGAGAGCTGTGCTCGTCAGATTGTACATCAAAGATCTACCAATGGATCCAATCTCACTATATTTGTTAAACGTGACATTTAATTTATTTTGTTGTCTATATTTAACAACATATTCCCCGACTTCGGTCTTTTGAATCTATTATTTGTTCTCAGGTATTTTGGCTGAGCGTAGAGATAAGTTAATAGTTAATGTAACCAAGTACATTCTGTATATTGACCGATTGCTTGCCTTTATTTCCTATAATGTATAAACTTATTGTACGTTATACTTTTAGAATGTTCATTATTGTTTATTAACACTGATATTCAGCAAAAGAGAGGGTATGTTTCAAATTTTCAATGAAAATGAAAGGAGGCAATTGTTATAGGCTCCATTTTGTAATAAATATGCATACAGTGAAGATGACGCTTGTATATGCAGCACCACTGCTCAACATTTCTGCTATCTGTTTTCATTTTAGCCAGGATGATGTGAATGAGGTTATAAAGTACATTGTTCCCTTTGAAGATTCACCCGAAGTGTCCTCTGGAGTTTGTTTTCAGATGTCTCAGTTTTACCCCGTCCACACTGAGACGGAGCAGAAGCATTTAAGAATGAAAACGGCTTCTTAAGCGTTTTTAAAACAATCCGTTTTCGGCACTCGAAAGCTTCAGCGTAGTGTGGACGGATTGAGTAACCGCAGCAAAACTTATGCGTTTTAAAATTAAACGTATTAGTGTAATCGGGGCCCGAGTAACAACATGGAAAGATAATTATCAAATTATCAAATGAATGATGTAATTAATGTTCCATGTAGAAATAACCTAATAAAAAAGAAGTCTGAAATAATTGTTATTCTCAATACATTATTTGGACTATGTTAAAATACACACCAGCCTATAGAACAACCAAGTCATTTAGGTGGTGCTTTTGTACCACTATCTCCCAATCTACCTCCCCACAAAACAAAAAGCACAACATAATGTTAAAGATGAATTTAACTTATATTATTATTCATTTACATTTTTGCACAATTTCAATAAACATTACAACAATGTTCTTTTGGTCAGGATAGCTGTGTAGTAAAATGTTTAACTCATTTGCATTTAAACCTTAGCAGTGGATAGTACATCAAATCATGCATGTGTGGATATGATGTCACATAATAATACGTGTAATTATGCTCATCAACAGAACAGCTGATGTTGCTCATTACAACAAAAACTTTAAGGGAAAACAACAGCAAATCCACATCAGTGCAAACTAAATGTCAACTTTAATGTTTAAAATAGTAACAAATGTATTACTACTGCTAGATATTTGTGTATACAGTCTACATAATAATTATAACAATAATAATAATCAATTAATAAAACTCACCAGCTCACTTGCCAGAATAAGAACTCCAGCGAGATAGTCTTCCACATCCAAATGAAACCCTTTTTCTCTGTCAACTTCAACTGCAAAAATGGTGAATAATAATAAGTAACCTACATCCACCTAGTATACCAAGATATTTTTAAACACTTGAAGGTTACATACTGGCAAGTATTTTTGCGACTTCCTCGCGTGTGACCAATGCCTCGCTTTCTAGGTAAACCACAAACGCTGCAAGGAAGGCGAGTCGCTGAAGAACAAATCTCCAGAGTTCATGATACCTAGGGAAAGGTGGACATGCGAGTCTTTGATATACATATAAAGACAAACAATTGTTCAGTCACTGGGCATCATCATGTAAGAAGTAAACACTACTTTTATTATTAAGGTTTGGAAGCACACTTTATGCTGCATAACAGCAGGTTAACCATGTTTATATAAACAATTTTTTTTATTCAGGATGCGCGCGCAGGAAGGTCTGTGGAAAAACCCCGGGAGCGCTAGCATTTACAGTACGAGAAGGTGTTACAGAGTTTGTTTTTGTCTTAAAAATAAAATATATTGATTACATATTATATATATTATTTACATAATGCTTTCAGCATATTATAACAGCTTGTCACCCAGTGATAAGTACAGTGATTTGGCAAAAATAATGTTAAAGTATGCGGCGTTCATCTGACAGGTCCATTTGCGATAGCACCCTCCCAATGAATATTTGATAAGACGAAACAATCAAGCATCCAGCCAGAATTACACAATTTCATTGAAGCTCCAAGTGATTATACAAGAGAGAAGTTAAAGGCCTACAAGTCTTTGGATGCCAGCAATGTTGTTCTGTGTGGTCATGTGCAAGACATAATGTTCCATGATTACCAGATTCGACACTATGTAGGGCTAAAAACTGAGATTCTGCTCAGCCAAAGACAAGGAAATAAGACGGGACTATACAAGGCCTGTATAATCATCAGCACGCAGAACATATGCATTCTGACAGCGGACTACACCTGTACGGCAGGGAATGTGATACATAAGAGGTAAAGTTGGTTTTATATTCGCACATTCAGACTTTCTCCTTATTAATATAATTTTATAAAAGAATTATTTGCAAATTCTAAATAGCGAAATCATATAAGCAGCTAATGACTATGAAAGTACAACATTGTCCACGGTCAAATAAACAGTGTTAATGTTGTTTTCAAGTCACACTTGCAGGTTATTTCAGACCGAATTTTCAAACTGCCGTGGTAAACAATATAGGGAGTGTGTCACAAGTTAACAAAGAATTTAAATATGTAGGCTAATGGATGTCTTCAGTGCAGTGCGTACAACAATGTTTCCTTATCCGTGAAAGTAAAGGAGTAAAGAGTAAAAGTAAAGTAAGAGAAAATACAGAGGCTGAATGGAGGAGGCTCGTTCTTTTTCCTTGCACTGCAGATGGTCTGTTTTACTGTTTTCTGGCTAGTGAAGCATTCCATTTTTACTCTAACAAAGTCTGCCATGTAAATAGCAAATGCGCCATGCTTCGACACAACTGACTCTTAAAGGGAATAACAGATGAGGTTGGATTAATTTAATACACGTTATGCTCAAGACACACCCATAACTCATTAAGAGAATAAGCACAACCCTGTTGGACCATGCGCCGCAAACTGTACTTTTCTGTCCTTAAAAATAGCAAAAGTGGATTCGGACACGCCCTGAATGCTTTTTTGCCCTGCTCTTTAGACTTAGACTGTGTCTGGATCGTTAAAATAGAGCCCAATATTGTTAGCTTTAGATGTGGAATCAGAGCTAATACTAATTTCAAGTAAATATGGATGAAAATGTATTTTTCTCAGCCTGAAGTTAATATATGTCCAACCATGTTAAGCTTCATCCATATAATGGACTTTAATGGGGAAGAAAATGCTTATCCTGATAATGTTCACTTTATTTATGGAATTAGGACTGATTACTTTTACAGTAGTACGTTTTAAGTAAAGTTTGACAGAAACAAGTGTTTCTCTCATCAGTGTTTAGCCACTGTACATTAAGCCAAATTAAGCATTTTAGAATTTCCCTTAAAAAATGCAATCCAAACAAACTTGAAGTGAAGTGAACTAACCGATAGTACTGCTCCACAGGGAACTTGGTTTTCAGCTCTCCGGTGTGATTCCTGACAGTGCAGAACAGCTCTCTGGCCTTCAGACACTTGCTTGGAACTAGAAGACGAACAGTAAACACAATGTAAAATACATTATGAAGCTCACAACACTGACAAACAGGCTTTTAACTCGTCTTACTGTCTTTGAAGCCAGTTGGCTGATGGACACTTTGAAGGACAGTAAGGATCTCTCTGGCTGTTTGCTCCAGACCTTGGACAACCTTTCTTATGTCCTAATTAACAGAGAAATATAGATTTAAAAAGAAGCTCACATTAAAAAAAGAGATTATATGAACTTTCTGTCAAGACATCTGTTACACTTCATCATGTCTTATTTATAAATCATAAACATCCACTGATAGCATGACAACTAATAAAGCAGTATATTCCTATATATATTTCACGTCTCTTAAAATCTATCTAAAACTGCAAAAAACGCGGTTTTACATGCAAGTGCGGTTGTTTACCTCTCGAATATCTTGATCGGCACTCAGAAAGCCCTGAATATAACTAAACATCTCCGTTACAGACATCTTCAAACGCTGTTAGCTTGTGCTGTTTGCCGTGTCGAGCTAATCCCAATGTCCAATCTACGGATGATGCAAACACTGTAAACCGAGACTGCTTATTAATTGTGCTCTCGATGCAAACAGCCTGCAGGTATAATAACTGGAGTCATCAGCGTGCACATCCACATCTGTCCTTCTTCAGCTTGACGCGCAGTGATGACGTAAATATCGTTTCTCTTCTGGCAGGTTGGTTAACACGACGCCATCTACTGAAAATTCCATAAATGTTCAGTCTGTGCTGTTTATGAATGATTGTTTCCACATAAACTCCACCTTGGGACTTTTGGACTAAATAAACGTAGTCTATAAAGAGGATTTAAAAAGAAAGCACTTGGAATCTTTGTTTTCCTGGATTTAGTGGATATATAAGGGAACGTTATGACTCTGAGTCAAATGTTTGTACTAGAGATCCCACAGTAAATGTCACTTAGAGTTGATATTTGATTTTTTTATTTTTATTTATTCATTCTTTCATTTTCTTTTTGGCTTAGTCCCTTTATATTCAGCAGGGGTCCCCACAGAGGAATGAACCGCCAACTTCTACACCATATGTTTTATGCAGCCGCAGGAGCGTACCTGACATTTTAAAAGTGCCCATGAGATCCAAGAGTTTATGTTCAAAATTATTAATCACCTGTTTCTAAATGGTCTGACTGTCTCTAAAAGTGAGGGGGATGTATCCCCCCGTCCTCCCCGGTTGCTACGCCCCTGCGCAGCGGATACCCTTACAGCAACATACGGGGGAGCAATTTTTATTGAGAAAAGAGGTGATTAGGTATGCACACTCGCCTGTGGAAAGCATTTCATAAATGCAGTGTTTATTTTTTATTTATTATATATTTTTTTCTTTTATAAATACCTAGGTTACTGTAATGGAGATAGTACTTGGAAAGTATTTCAATTTTATTTAGTTACACAGTAACATTCCAGAATTCCAGTATAGTATATTTATTCATATATTTAATTATTGATTTTGATTATTGAATTATTGATTATTAAACGTTTTTTTATTATTATTTTCATTTCAATTATTTTTTATTTGTTTTTTTTTAATTATTTATTTGACCCTTATTTTAATCTTTTTATATTACTTATTTTTAATTTACTGTATGATTAAATTGTTGGCGACATAGTGTCTCTGTGGTTAGCACTTGCCTCACAGCATGACAGTCGCTGGTTCAAGCCTCAGCTGGGTCAGTTGGCAATTCTGTGTGGAGTAGGTGAATTGAATAAACTAAACTGGCCATAGTATGTGTATGTGAATGAGAGTATATAAGCGTTTTTCAGTACTGGGTTGCAGCTGAAAGAGCATCCGCTGTGTAAAACATATGCTGGTTAAGTCCTTCTTCCTGGTACCACCTCGCACTCGATTAAGCACAATGGGAGACAGATCTTTTCGCTCTGTGGCTTCTCGGCCATGGAACTCGGCTATGGAACTTCCCTTGGATCTAAGGAGCAGTGATAGTCTTGACGCATTTAAATTTCGTCTAAAGACCCATCTTTTTAAGCATGGCTTTCCTTTAACAATTTTTTTATCATGTTATTTTATATTCGTGATGTGTGTTTATACCTGTTTGGTCAATACTTATTGTTTTAGCCTATTATTTGTTTTCATTTGTTTTATGGCTGTTAATGCTTCAGTGTGCAAAGAGCAAATGTTTGCCTGCATGACAATTACCAAGAGATCTGGTCGGTTTTATTATTATTATTATTTTTTATTAAAGCATTATTAAAATTAAATGGTTATTAGTAGTTAGAGTTAACATGAATTAACAGTGAAACTTTATTTTCATTAACTAGCGTTAACAAAGACTAATAAATACTGTAATAAATTCAATGTTTGCAAATACATTAACTAACAAACAAATAAATAAATAAAGCTATCTTCCAAAAAGTACCAGATAAGTTCACACATTGTATTTTGAAAAAAATGAAACAGCATCACTAAACTCAAACTTCATTCTTCTTCAATAAAGTCCAAATTTTAACGCTGTCAGTATTAACTAAATAAATAAATACGACTTTTTTTCCGGAGGAAAAAATAGAAAAAGGAAATACTGTGAAAAATGTCCTTGCTTTGTTGGTAATAGTTGCAAAAGAATGAAAATTTCATTGGAGGGCTTCAAATTGTATTTGTAATTGAATTTGTCTTCAATTGTATATAATTCGAATAAATTTAACTTGGAAATTCTATTTAAAACAACTTATGTCGTATATCACTATTTAGATTTATTGAGCCAAGATTGTTTTTATGTGATTTGCATTTGTGCTTGCTCCATTTAATTCAAAAGTAAACACACGCAAATTAACCTTTCGAACACGCTGAATCTCGTGACGCGTAGATCGTTTAGAATCTCTCCAATAAACGTCACCGGTGAACCTGCAGCACAAACGCAATTAACTTTGTTGGTTTGCAGTTGGTTAACAAGAACGATCTCTGATTTTGTTAAAGTGAACACATTGTTGAATGATGGCGGATGGATTCAGTATCAACGATTTGACTGTGATGGAGAAGCCAAACCAAAGACGGCGCTTTAAACTTCCCTCTTAAACCCCCCTCCCTCTTTAAACTTCCCTCCTAAAGGCTGCCAGGAAAATCAAAATCTTCCGGTGCCAAAAACAGACGCAGTTCAAGCAAGCGCCTGAAAGAGGCAGTGATTGTAAGTCATATTTATAAAGTGATATGAATCTTCGTATTCAGGAGTTTCACTGATTATAGGTTATTGAGTGCCTTTTCCGTCAAGGTTCGGCAGGCAGACTCCTAATTAACAGACCTTAAACCGGCCTTAATTGAGTTGTCCCAATGAAATCTCAAGAATTGTGTTGTTTCAGCTTACTTTAATTAGTTTGAACAAGTAAAAAGTGTATAGAATATTACAAACATTAATTTGCTTAACAAACATTTAAAACGTTTTAGATATGTAATATGAACATCATTTTAAAGTTTTTGGTGCATTGACCAATTGTGTAAGCAGATTTTGAATTTGTGGTAACAAAAGCTTAGCTACGGTAATCATTTGCGTTTTTCTTTTAGTTTAATTTGTTGTGAAACTTTGGTAATGTGAATGTTCTACAAATTGTATTTTAATTTAATTTTAAAATGTGTTATCTGCATTCATTTCTCTTAATAGATGAGGAGGAGGAAGTGAAAACTAAAAAGAGTAAGGTAGCAAATTTCTTCAAAGCTACCACAAAACTCTTTGGCATGTCCTGCTTTCGTCAGGCTGAGGAGCAGCTCATTGACTCTGAAGGGTCTGATGGTAAATCATCATATTTATTTGTTGCTATATCAGTTTATAATGTTATAAATAATTTGTATATATAATAATTTGTATATAAAATAGTTTTTTATGTATAAATAATTTGTATTAATTTCCCTTTACCCAAAGTTTAACATCGCCTTGAGTGTAAAATTGACTAACTGCAGTCATTTCTCTATTAGCAGATGACTTTCTGTGCCAATCCCAGTCTGATGAGAGTCTGGAGGTTGTTCCGGACATCATTCATGAAGTGAGCTGTGTGATGGACGACCTAAAGGTGAGTATATAAAGATGAGCAACGGTTTTAATTCGTGTTCTCCTGATGCTTTCACTAATATGTCAAGAATCTGTTTCAGGATTTTGAGAGGAATTTTATGACACCATAACATGAGAATTGACTTAGTTTGGTTTTGTTTATTAGGTGGATGAGACAAATGACTTGACACTCAACGTAGAGTACGTCAAAAGAGAGGAGGAGGAGGAGATAAGAATGAATGATGAGAAGAACACAGAGGAGGACAAGATCAAAAAGAGGAAGAGGAGGAGGAGGAATAGGATGAAAGAGGAGAAGGAGATAAAGATGAAAGAGGAGAGGTTGACAGAAAATGAAGAGAAGGAGGAGAAGAATGAGGAGATGAAGATGAACGAGGAGAGTATGAAAGAAAATGAAGAGAAAAAGGAGAAGAATGGGGAGATGGTGATAAAAGAGGAGATGAAAACAGAAAATGATGACGTGGAGGAGAAGAATGAGGAGATGGTGAAGATGAACGAGGACAGAATGAAAGAAAATGAAGAGAAGGAGGAGAAGAATGAGGAGATGAAGATGAACGAGGAGAGAATGAAAGAAAATGAAGAGAAAAAGAAGAAGAATGAGGAGATGGTGATAAAAGAAGACGGAGAGGTGGAGGAGAGGAAGGAGGAAGTGACAGAGACGGAGAAAAGGAAGAGAAAGAGAACAAAGAAAAGAAACAGCAAGATAATTAGAAGGATGATGAGGAGGAGAAGCAAGAGAAGGAGAATGAGGAGAGTTTGAATCAAAATAATAATTGAAAATAAAATAAATAAATAAAAAACTGGATGGACAATGCTCTCTCACAGCAGTTAAACAGTAATTTACTGCAAATCAGCAAGAATACTGATATTTATCTGCTATATGTGTATTTCCAGTATTGTTTTTCTTTACTGTAAAATCTACAGTCATTTTCACAATGCTTTAAAATAATCCATGAAATTAAAATGCAGGAACATACTGCATAACTGTCCTAAAGTAAAAGACAGTAAATTTTACAGTAAATACATTTACAAAAATTAAGTGTGATCATGTGACAATGAAGAAAATTCAGCTTTGCATCACAGAAAAAAGTACATTTAAATACATATTCTACAGAACACATTTACTTTAAACTGAAAATAAAATGGCAGAATTTTGCTTTGTTGTTATAATAAAGACGTAAAAGTCTTATAATAAAAGCCTCAGAAGATGAAGATGAAATGCATTGAATGCTAGGTGGGTTTGGGATGTAAGACCACTCTTTGAGGGTGCAAATTACACTTCTGAGACGTAATAATATTTAAAATTAGACTCAACTTTGTTATTACACATGTACAGGTACAAGGCAACACAATGCAGTTATAGGTCTATAACCAGGAGTGCAACAGCAGTAAGTGCAGGATATAAGATATGTACATACCAAACACCAAACCACTTTCATGACAGACTTTGGCTGAGGGATTTTAAAAATGACCAAACCAACATTTCAGATGTTTTACAATGTGGTGGTGAGTGCGCTGGTTTGTCCATGCCGCCCCATTGTGCCTTTTTTGTGGTCACATGCTCTGGTAAAACAAAATCTAATCACTTTTTTGGTGTGCATGCTGAAATTTATTAAATAAATCTGTTTCC